TCATGAGGGACAAGGTTCCTCCTTCCTTTTGGGATAATGCCACCATTTTTTTTTCTTGTTATTGTCAGGTTTATTGCTTCTGCTCAATATACTACGAGCTTCTTCAGTAAAGGACAGTCTCATCCTTGTTGGTTTCTATTTTTGTATGGGACTGCGAAGAGAAACCTCTGCCGATCTCAGCCCGTGTTCATGTCCCACCCGCCATCACGCTGAGATGCAAAGCTTGCTCCTGTCCCCCCTGCCCCAGCTCACCCTGGAAGAAGGTTTTCGGTCACCGGTTTCCGTGTATCCACCTGACCCTTCATCCCTCCAGTCCCTTGTGCCACAGAGGCAGCGCCATTACCATTGGTCTGCGAGAAGCCCGTTAGTGCAACGAGATGGGGTCGTCCTGCCTGGGCTGCCTGGACCGGTCTGAGATGTGAGGAAGATGTCCTTGGGCTTCGTACTTCATTGCTTGCTTGAGTGTTCCCGGCACTGCTGCCTCGAAAAGCCAAAGAAGAGAGAAAAGCCAATGTGGGTGTGTGAGGGGGGGGCATAGTAAGAGGGATCGCTCTGTAGTGCCAAGAATAGGACTGTTAGGACACTCCTTTCTACGCCTTACAGTTTGCGCCACAGGGAAAGGTGTTGTCCAGATGCATTTGTTTTATATATACTGTATATATTTATATATATAAGATATACATGCAAGCTTGGTTGGTGTTTTTTATTAAACGAAATAAAATCCATTGAAAATGTTTGGGATGTTTGTGCTGCATCCAGGTTCCTGGAGCCGTGCGTTGAAATTCCAGCCACAGCCTCTCTCATCCTTGTCAGAGCTCTTCCCGGTAGCCTCGGGCAGCACTTGAAATGGCCAGCTCACGTCTTCTCCACGAGAAACCCCATAGAAACAGGGCTGGAGGGAACCACACTCCTTTGCAGATTTTCGCCATGGGTATTTGCCTTTTCATGGAATGAGAGGAGGATCTCCTCTCCAGCCAGATAGGTTCACGTGGCTCTTGGGAACACGCAAGGACATCTCCATGGAAAGTCTGCCAGTACCTCTGAGGACAGGTAACGTCTCAGCAGGCAGCATCCCACACGAAGATCATAACTCCCCTCAGTTCCCATAACACTGCCCAGTGAGACTTGTCCTGTAGTCTTACCCACTCCCCTTTGCTCTCCCTACCTGCTGTCCTCACTCCTCTGGGTCTGGAGAGCTAGTTAGGACCGAATTTCCTTCTCTCCATGAAGAGTAGGGGAGATGCAACCCAAAAGAGTTTTCTTCCATGCAAGCATCCTGAGGAAACTGGGATCTTTCATGTTGCTGGTGAAGCCACTCTCAGATTTGAAGGGAGGAGGAGGCTTATTTCTGGCAAACAGTGCTTGTGCAGGAGACCTGTCCTAGGCAAGTGGGACTTTGCCATGGAATAGTCCCACTGAAGGCATCAGAGCTACTCCATGGTCCAGGCTGGACCAGAAGGGAAGGAAAATGAAGCTGAGTCGTGAGGGATACTTCTGTTAGAGTGGCTTAGGTCTCAATCTTGGTGTTTGTGGCAGACACACTGGGCATGTGTAGATGTCTGACAGTGGGCTTTGGTAGGCTACAATAGCGTGTTGCAGGAAATGAGAAAGAAGTCTCTTCAAAGTGAAGGTGAAAATTAAACTGGCAGGGGAGGAATGGAAATCCAGCCAAAGTATTTGAGCTAACAGTGGGGAAAAAAGCCCCAAATCCAAACTGGTGTAAGTTGTGCCGGTGATTGTGTGTGTTGCTGCTGGAGTTCTTTTCCCCCTTGTATGTGTAGTTTTATAGGACAAAAAAGACATGTGTATGTGTTCAGGACACAAAGCTAGAAGTTTCAGATTATGTCTGCAGACAGAACGCCAGCAGGGGAAGCGAGGCAGGACAAGCACTGCATTTTAAGAAATCCATGGTGTTCTGTTTGATCGCTCTTTTTGGCCTTTCGTTCTGTAGCCTGGAGAAGCTAACAACTCTAAACCAAAATATTTCTATCATAAGTAGTGTGGTTCCAGCTCCTAGAGCCAAGTGATCGCATTGGAAACCTCAGTCTTCACTTAGAAACTCACTGTTGGTTCCTGTGCCTATGCAAACAGGGAGACTATCAAAGAACAAGTCCTGGATGATCAGAAAGAAAAAGGGCGCAGTGCCATGTGACATTACTCAGAAGCTGAACCGGTCATTGAGTGCCTTAGCCTGGTGCTCTCCCCTCTCCTCGCCTTGCTGCTCTCCTCCACAGTCCACCAACATCCCAGCAGCAACAGCAGCCTGAACGTACTCCCCTGTGGTGGTTTCAGCTGTTTGCTTCAGCATCTTGATGGTCTGTGGCATTCCCCTAGTCTTTGCTCACCATTTCTGCAGTAGAAGAATCACCCTGATCAGGTTGCTTTGGTGTCTGCGTACAGGCACCCATTTCTGAAGTTAGCAAGGAGACAGCTCAGAGAGCGTGAAGCTCCTGGTACCCTGTTATCCATCTGTGGACCGAGATATCCAGCTCTACTCCCACGCTGTGATGTTTACATGAAGGGGCTCACATAAACACCTGTGCAAACCCTTGTTTGCCCTCCCCACTCTATTCGGGTGAGGAACTGAATTGACTCGCATGGGGCTGCTCCTGCAGGAAGGCTGTGTAAGCGTTTGCACTTCAAGTTTTAGTTGGGTCTTGCCTTGCGTTGGGCTGCTTGGTTGGGGATGCCATCACGGCTGACTGGGCTGTTGTCAGTCCAGATGAGACCTTTCCATCACCTTTGAGCTGGGTGACATCAAGATATAAGCCAGAGCATCCAAGATGATGTTGCTTCATTTACATGGATTTGCTAAACTGAGGCCAGCTGGATGAATGGACAGGTTTTGTTTTTTGTTTCTTAATTGCTGATGACCTCAGCCAACAGGCAGTGTCTAGTTGTCTGTCAAGCCAAAGCGAAATATTATGATTGTGTATGTTTAATCTGTATTTTACTGAACCATGTAAATATATGTGCGAATTAAGGGCCTTATCCTGAAAGCCTGGAGTTCTCCAGGCTTTTAGTAAACTTCAGGTCGCAGCTCCTGGGAAGTTGCCATTGTTACCCCAGTTATCACTAAGTTTGCGTACCATTCAGGGGAGAAAATGGTCTTGAGGCACATTCCGCTTGCCTGCTCTGTAAGAACGCTGATTTCTCAGCCACCCACTCCCCACCACTTCTCGACACAGAAATAGGTGGCTGATTTCCCTCTAAGTGGGATTTTTGAGCGTGACAGGAATGGATGATTGATGAGGCTGGAGCTTGACACGTGAAGCCACGGGAGGGATTCCCAGATCGAACTGTATCCTGTAAATTATCTCTTGCTTTGTGATGTAAAATGTACAGAGTTTGCACTAGAATAGATATGATCATTTTCAATAAAAGAGGGAAAGGACTCCCCAGTCCTTTCTATAAGCTGCCATATGTGTCGCGTGTTGCTGCCCTGAGGTGTCCTACAGCGTTGGCTGGAGCTGGGAACATGCCGGAGCCTTCGGTGGGGGGAAGCCAGGACCAGGGCCCAGGACCAGGGTCAGCAGAGCAGGGTCCGGGGCCATCCTTCCCAGCAGGCTTATCCTGGGAATGCCATGCAGCGGATCAGGGGACTGCAGAGAGACCCCAGTGGAGGTGGGTACTCCTCTGCAGCATGTGCTGTGTGAGCCAGCCAATGGGCCAGGCAGAGATGGACATGGTGTCCAGAGCCCTGCCTGAACCCCAGGATCCTTCCAGCAACGTAGGCAGCTGCAAACAAGTCCAGCAGGAGCGTGAGATGGGAAGCATCCATGAAGACATCTCCTAAAAGAGATGGTTTGCAGGAAGAGGTGAGATGCCTCCAGCTCCCTCCACTGTACCAGGCTGGCAAGACTCCAGTGTGGGGCTGGAAGTGGGGTGGGAGGAGATCAGGGAGGTCTCTCTTCAGAGAGGAGCGAGGGCTGGACATCCTTATTTGGGTGCTGGGGGTGGGTGACCAGCACAGAGGGCTGGGAGAAGGGAAAGCTGCAAATTAGGAGAGGAAAAGATTTGAGTCCCATGGCCTGGGTAGGAAGCAAGAAGAGATGGGGTCAGGAGGGAAAAGCCTCCACTGCAAAGCAAGGGAGATGGTCAGAAGGAACTCAGAGGCTAATAAGGGCTAATTAGTGCAGTAGGCTATTAAAGTAGGGGTCAGGCAGGTGCTGGGGAAGACCTTTTACTGGGGGAAGACACCAAGCTGGGCTAGAGCTTGTGGGTTGTGCTTCAGAGGGCAGGTATCTGCTGGGAGCTGTTGTTGTTGGGGAAGGTGAGGAGATGTTGGGGCTGGTGGCTTTCTGCAACTTCCCTTCTTGGTCTCAAAGTGATTTATTCAGATTTGAGCCAAATGTTGGGAATCCCGAGTGTGTCTGGGTTGGCCTCCTGTTTCCCTGCTGATCTGGCTTTTGACCCACCATGGGCAGTGAGTGCTGGGGTTGTTAATCAGGCAGAATGCAAGGGGAAGATAAGGTTCAGCATCCCAGCCCACAGAAAGACCCTGGTAAGGGGAGCTGGGTATCTCTGCAAAGCCCTCTGCGGTCGGCCAAGCTTGCATTCCTTGCAAAGCTGATTACTCACCCCTCTGAAGCTGAAATAATAATAATAATATCAGCCTCTTACTTATTATTTCTTGGTTGCCAAGAGCAGCAGACTTGCAAATAGCATAGCTTCCAAGTTGATTTTGAGACTGGAGTGGTTTGGACTGAGTTGAAACAAGCCTCAGATGTCCATCCAGACCCACAGCCGGTTCATCTGGGCTCCCTTTGGGTGGGTGTCCATCTCCCCCACCTGGCACCGCTGTGCTGTGGCTCCCCCCCCCCTGGCAAAACAGCAGTAGCTGGGTGCGGGAAGGCTGCCGCATGCTGCTTCTGCTGGTATCTCCTGAGTATCTGACCATACATTA